GTTAAAAGGCACGTCAGGCTATATGTTCGATCCCTGTCGAAATTTCTCGGACATTCAGGCCGGTAAATGTTGTTAATACTGTTTATTATAAACAGAGCATTTACTTAAATATTTGTATCTATAAGAAGAATGTATAAACATAAAAATGTCTTTAAAATAATTGTCGGACTTTGTCAATACCATATATAATTATATATATATATACTAATAATTATACTCGTTTGGTAAAAAACTCGGATGGCACAATTTACAAGTCTATCAAAACAAATTGGTATCCGAGGAAAAATTGGAGAAAAAAAAAGAACTAGAAACATCCAAACAGGGCGAAAAAAAATCGTCCAGAGTCTTAAACTTCCAGTCCAAAGAAAAAAAAGCGAGTAACTAAGATAAAACGTAGAGCAAAGGAATAAAATAAATGCTAAAGAGCCTGGAACTTCCTATATATATATATATGTATATAAATAAAAAGAAAGAACAGTAAGATATATATCCGGTGTTCTTATAGATATTTTTATTTTTACAAAATAGTGCTCGATGTAAATTTACAGAGCATTAATATTATTTAGCTGTGTATTTAAAACCCAGTAATTTTAAAAGTTACTCCAAAATTCGCTTGAGGATGAAATTGAACTAATGTCTTAAATTTAATTACAAAATTAAATTCGGGGCTTTTAGCTTCCATTTTTGAAACATGGTTAGAACTGTGTAGCGGAAAAAAACATATTTTAAATCAATTAATTTATAATATATATATATATATATATATATATATATATATACGTCTTCAACATTTTATATATATATTCAACATTCAAATATATTCGAATATTCAGACCGGTAAATATAATTAATATTGTTTAATTAAAGACAGAGCATTTACTTAAATAAATTGTATCCATAAAAATAAAGTATAAACAGAAAATATATTAAATAATTTTCGGATTTAATCCAATTCATTATATATTGTCAATGTTTACGTTAATATACGTTTTCGTGAGCAGATATGTTTGCTCGAGAAAAATCGTTGAATATTGTATGTTTATAAACAGTAATCTAGATTTTTCTAACCAGACGTAGCTAAATGGTATAGCACGTCAGATCAAATGACGGTTTCCGTATAGGAATACAGGTTCGATTTCGGTCTGAGAACGCATATTTTTTTACGAAATTTCTTGAACATTCATGTTGGTAAATCTAATTAATACTTTTTAATTAAAAACAGAGCATTCACTCAAAACAATATATATATATATATATATATATATAGAGAGAGAGAGTTTTTGCCTTACCAATTGCACCCCTGTTGATGATCTCAGAAAGAGATGGAAAGTACTTGGGAAATAAAAGTGATTCTCACTGTTACAGTTCATTTTTTTGCCTCAGTTAATTTTAATATACGGAAAAATATTCGTGAATTTGAAAAGATTATGATCAAAATAAGCAAGCATAACATTGATAACGTATTCAATCAGATATGTCTAAAAGAGAATTTGCTGCCTAAATACACACACACACACACACACACACACACACACACACACACACACACATATCGAGAAAGAGAGCAAAACGAAAGAAGAATAATATATATATATGACGATATATAATTTTGTATAATTTTATATATCAACAAAGAGTGTTTAGAAAAATATGAAAAATTGAAAAAAAAAAAGTTTTTGTGACGCTTTTCATCCGTTAGGATTTTAATCGGATATGTTGCCACGTCTACACATGAGCACAAAACGAGAGACGCTGGTAGTTTCAAAATTTTTGAAAGAATATTTTTAAGAATATGTGTATGTATGTGTGTGTGCATGTGTATGTATATGTGTACATATGCGTATACTAATTCCTTATGATAAGCCACTATTTATATATGGAGAGGGAAATATACGTATGCGTACGCATGCTGACAAAAACACAAAAAAAATGGAAATAGATCTAAGAACACACAGGGGTCATTAAAAGATAAGAATATAAATATCTTCCTCATCCTTTCTCGGACCAATCTTAATTGTTTTATTACCTTCACGCAGAAGTTTTTCACTGCCAGTTCTAGGAAGACATTTCGGTCACTAACACACAAAAAAAGAGAATGTCTAATATCGAGAATGTTTAACATCGAAAAAAATAAGCAAAATTATTTCCTTTTAATAATATGTGGAAATATCCATTCTTTGCCTGATGAAGGGCGAGGCCGGAAACGCGTGTAGCTAAATTATGGAGAATAAAACATAATATATATTTTTTTAAATCCACAGTACAAACAAAAACGACTGCTGTTTCTCTCTTCTTTTTATTATACACACTTTTCTCTCGCTGAAACTACTATAACCTGTTCCCTATATATATATATATATATATATATATATATGAAGAAAAATACAGAAAAAACAAACAAACAAAAATCTTAATATGCAATTATGCTGTATTAATGTTAATATAAAGTCGACGTCGGACGTTTCGGTCTATTTAAGACCATCTTCATGGACATTTTCATTTAAACATAATTAACATTAGAACATATAAAATTTAACACAAAAGACAATGGACATAAGAGCACAACTAATCCAAACAGATAACTGAAATTTTTATATAAGATTTTTTTTGTTTGTTTTTTCTGTATTTTTCTTCATACTGTCGGATCTATATCCATATATTTGCTTACATACATATATATATATATATATATATATATATATATATATATATATATATATATATACACTGGCTCTCACATTGTTTTCGACGTATGAAGGTAGAGCAACTCAGTTCTTAGGATCGAACATCCTTATCATCCGCATGTACGATTTCATTATTGTGGTGAAAGCATGTGCCGGACCAAGCGCACTTTTTGGACGGACCGAATACAGAGGACTGCTGCACATAGTGTGCAACAATGTCTCAAACGACCCTCCTCGGGTTTTAAATTCAAAATTGTCCTTCAATTAGACTGGCTGCCAACCAAGGCTATAGGAGAAAAGAGAGTCATATTTGCATTTAGGTGAATGTAACAAACCCAACAGGAATTCGAACTCGGCTCTCCGATTTCTCAGTTCGAGCCGCAATCCATTGAATGTGTGTATGTGTGCATGTACATGTGTGTGTATCTGGGTGAGTGGCCGAGTAATTAGAACGTTCGCTTTCTGACCATGAGACACGGATTCGAATCTCACCATAGTCCATTTGGCGACTTCCTAATATTGTCGGACTGGATCGGTCGATCTCAGCGTTGGAAAGGGCTTGAAAACAATATCACGGGTTGACCCAAGCTTTATGAGTGCAATTGGGTAGACATATCTCCCGTGGGCCGTCGATAGCTGTGCTAGCACGAAGTCATCGAGAGCTTGAGTGTTCAAATTGTTGATCACACTAGATAACACGCTTTCTCCCAGAAGCTGTGACTAAGGTCTGCTCAGCATAGTTGCAGTATAAACCACAGATAGGCTCTGTGGGTGTTGAGCAAACACAAATCTGCCTGAGTGATCGTCTGCAATAGGGATTGGCTAGCCGCCTTAGTAGACGGGTATCCTCGAATACAAGTGTTACAAGTAAAGAAAAAGTAAAGAACAGCGAGAGATTTTGCCTGTAAAATAATATACATTGCTGCATCCAAGGAAATTCCACGGCAGTTAGCAATCAATTTGCCCGTCTTCTCGCATATATATATATATATATATATATATATCTGTAATTACTGACGGAATGAAGTGATTACATTCAAATTAAATATGAATTCACATATGAAAATAACGGATAAAATTAATAAAAATAAATTAGTTGTGGAAGACAGGAAGAAAGAGGAGAGAAATACCAAGAAAAAAAGAAAAAGTGTTCAGATATTGAGAAAGAAAAAGAGGGGAAAATATTAAGAAAGAAAGAAAGAATAGTAAAGGCAAAAAGAAAGGAATAAAAAAGTGTGGGAAAATATCATGAGAGAAAGAAAGAGTAAGAAAATATTGAGAAAGAAAGAAAAAGTGAGAAAATATTGAGAAAGAAAGAAAGAGTAAGAAAATACTGAGAAAGAAAGAGTAAACAAATATTGAGAAAGAAAAAAATATCGAGAAAGAAAGAAAATATTGAGAAAGAAAGAAAAAGAAAATATTGAGAAAGAAAGAAAAAGAAAATATTGAGAAAGAAAGAAAGAGTGAACAAATATTGAGAAAGAAAGAAAATATTGAGAAAGAGTGAGAAAATATTGAGAAAGAAAGAAAGAAAATATTGAGAAAGAAAGAAAATATTGAGAAAGAAAGAGTGAGAAAATATTGAGAAAGAAAGAAAGAAAATATTGAGAAAGAAAGAAAATATTGAGAAAGAAAGAGTGAGAAAATATTGAGAAAGAAAGAAAGAATGAGAAAATATTGGGTGAGAAATAAAGTAAAAAGAAAGAAAGAAAGGGGGAGAGACAAAGAAAAAGTGAAAATATACTGAGAAAGAAAGAAAGAAAGAGTAAGAAAATATCGGGAAAAAAGAAAGAGTGACAAAATATTGGAAAAGAAAGAAAGAGAAAAGAAAAAAGAAAGAGGGAGAAAATATTGAGAAAGAAAGAATGAGAAAATATCGAGAAACATAGAAAGAGTGATAAAATATTGAGAAAGAAAGACAGAAAATATTGGGTGAGAAAGAAAGAGAGAGTGAGAAAATATTGAGAAAGAAAGAAAGGAGAAAATATTGAGAAAGAAAGAGTGGAAAACATGAAAGAAGGAAAGAAAGAAAGAGTGAAGAAGTATCAAGAAAGAAAAAAGAGAGTAAGGACAAAGAAAGGCGGAAATAGAAAGAAAGAAAGAAAGAAAGAGGGAGAAAATATTGAGAAAGAAAGACAGAAAATATTGGGTGAGAAAGAAAGAGAGAGTGAGAAAATATTGAGAAAGAAAGAAAGGAGAAAATATTGAGAAAGAAAGAGTGGAAAACATGAAAGAAGGAAAGAAAGAAAGAGTGAAGAAGTATCAAGAAAGAAAAAAGAGAGTAAGGACAAAGAAAGGCGGAAATAGAAAGAAAGAAAGAAAGAAAGAAAGAAAGAGGGAGAAAATATTGAGAAAGAAAGAAAGAAAATATTGGAGAAAGAGAAAGAAAGAAAGGAGAAAATATTGAGAAAAAATTGAAAACATGAAAGAAAAAGAAAGAAAGAGAAAATATTGAGAAAGAAAAAGAGAGTAAGGAAAACAAATAGAAAGAAGGAAAGAAAGAAAGAGGAAGAAATATCAAGAAAGAAAAAGAAAATATTGGGGACAAAGAAAGGAGGAAAAATATTGAAAAGAAAGGAAAAAAGAAAAGAAAAAAGAAAAAACATGAAAGAAAAAAAGAAAGAAAGAGTGAAAATATTGAGAAAGAAAAAAGAAAAGAAAAGAAAATAAATAGAAAAAAAAAGAAAGAAAGAAAACAAGATGAAAAAATTGAGAAAGAAAAGAAAGAAAGAAAATATTAAGAAAGAAAAAAAGGAGTAAGAAAACAAAATGAAAGAAGGAAACAAAGAAAGAAAAAAGAAAAGAAAGAAAGAAAGAAAGAAAGAAAAAAAAAAGAAAGAAAGAAAAAGAAAGAAAGAAAGAAAGAAAGAAATGGGGAAGATTAAGATATAGGATCATTGAGACATTTTGGCAACAGGCACTTCCGGTGGTGTCGATTGAATAACGGTTATCGAGTTCTGCACAGTTTGAAAACATTAAGATCATAGATACAAAGAAACATAATAATATTATAATTATATAATTATTATAATCTTCATCGTCATCAACCGCCATAAATCAGAATAGCATTAGACTGAAGATGAGTTTAAATTCCAACTGAGGCCAAATAAACTTGAAATGAAATCCACTCTTTTCCCACTCACTCCACCGAGCTAGGAATTAATAACAGGACAGGCTAGCTTTGGTTGTTAACCCGTCTAGGAGAAGAACAACTCTGAATCCCAAACTGGTTGGGCGTCGAGCAAGCAAATCCACCTGGTAAAAACTACTTGCTACAGAATCCACAACAGCAAAACTTCGCGTAGTGAGGTTATGGCACTTTATTCCAACAAGGGAGGTCTACAGGATTAACAACAACAGCAATACACACACACACACACACACACACACACACACACACACACACACACACACACATACACACATAGACATATATATATATATATATATATATATATATATATATCTGTGTGTGTGTGTGTTATATATCTTACCTATGAACACTAATGGGGTATGCCCCAATTTTCATAAATACGCTGGACACTATTGTAAGTGCGGCTAATATGCTGTCTAAGCGGGCAGCGTGAGCGGTAAGCATGGGAAGTTCTTGCCGAAGGGTAGCGTCTCGTCCGGGGAGGTAGACAGATACCCAATTCGTATGCGGGGTCTACGGGCAAATTTTGCCTGGGCCCACGGGCTCGGATTTCCCTACATTAAATTTGACCTTGTGCCGCGTCCAACCTCTTGGACAGGCAGTTAAATATCGTAATATGCTGTCTTTATATAAAATGATAGATAACACATCACAATTCAACACTTTGTTCTTTTGATATTTTCCCATTTCTCAGCCCTTTGCTTTGGATTGCTATTTTCAAACGTCTTACACGTTCGTATATCAATGTCGCAGTTTCCATTCTCCGTTAAAACACTTAGCAGATATTTAAACTGTTGTATTTGTTTGGTTTTTGGCGTCTCTAGTTTGTAGTTTGCATAACAATTAATAGCCTTCCATACCCCTCCCCCAAATAAAATAAATTATTTGCTTGCCCGATCCAGTAATCCCCTGTCAGTATTGAAGCAGCCTTATATCGTCTTAGTAAGCAAACGTCTTGTACAGATGGGGAACAAAGTGGAATTTGAAGAAGTTTATGCAGGTGTTATTCAAGATTTATTGCAAGTGGTTTACCTACTTCATGCCGCTGGCGAGTATTGTATTTTGTTGATGTTATAAAGATTAAGCATTTCATTTCCAACTCCATTTTGGTTATCCCTCATTCAGTAACCCTTCCTAGGTTACCATAGTTTTTCATATTTATTCAAGAATAGACTTTCATAAGGCATGTTTAAAAAGAACATTTCTTGCCAAAATATGCTTTTTTTTAATATGTGATTTTTTTTTGTTATATACAGTACATATGAACACTAATGGTTATGTCCCAATCACCATAAATGCGTTGGAAACTATTGTAAGTGGGGGTAATATGATGTCCATGTAGCAGTGGTTTACCTATTTCACGCCGCTGGCGAGTATTGTATTTTGTTGATCTTATAAAGATTACCATTTCATTTCCAACCTCCGTTTTGGATATTCCTCATTCAGTAATCCTTTCTAGGTTAAACAATATATATAAGAGACAATTTGGAAAATTCCAATATGACGTGTTTGTCGATGTTCCGGCATTATGATTAGCGAGACAAAACTTGGTTTAACAGGTAAACACTTGATTTTTTTTTACTAAAGTATTAAGAAACAAGAAAAATTGGTATAGCGAAAGATGCTTACCAAAATCTAAGCAAAGTATTAAGAAACAGGAAAAAATCGCTAGAAACAAAGAAAGGAATACTGGACTGTTATTTCATATAGGTCGTCTTATAAGGCATATTTTTTTTTTGAAACGCTGGGATTCAAATTCGCCCCAAATACGATCTGACATTTTATCCTAAATTATTATAGCGATGTAAAACATCTGATTCGAAAACTGAAAAAATACAAAAAAAAAAAAAAAAAAGAAATAGACATACCATGTCAGTTGAATTTAACAAAACTTCTTAAGATAAATTCATTCTACCAACTCCTGTCTCAATAGTAAGTCTGATCGGATCACTCAGGTCAGATTGGCGGCTAATCTAAAAAATGACCTAAAATCTGTTGTTAACTGGGGCAAATAATGGCTTGCTACTCTTAACACCTCCAAAACGAAACTGCTCCCAATTAATCGTCTGAGAGACCCCTTTTTACCTCCCAACAGCATGGATGATGCTAACCTTCAAGATAGTAACTCGTTACACGTTCCCGTTTTCCGTTGGCATGGAGCGAAAACATTATATTGAATCAATTGCTAGTTTTACTGGTAGGAAAGTTTTTCACTGTTTCGTGTTAGACAATTTTCTTTCTTGAACCTGTCATATATTTATAACTCTAGCATTTGTCCATACTTTGAATATTGCTGCCACATATTGTCTGGTGCTCCTGCTATATATTTAGTCGGGAATGGGAGGTGAAAATAGATCAACATTTCTTTTTTTAAACTATATTCACTCAATGCATAGTCCAAGAGCCACTCAAAGTAGAGGGCTACTGAAGTAGGTTGTTGTATTGACGTAAGAGGATGAGGTACGAAGTGCAGATCATTAAAATATGTAGGATAGATAACGACTGACTATAGATTTGAAAAGGTTAAGATTGTAATGATCGGAGAGTATCCCCTCGGGAGTCTGCTTCACAAAGTAACAATTCTTGGGAAAAGCTGTCAGATTGGAACTTCTTGTTTACTAACGGAATACGACGTGAATGAAAATGATTCCTCTCAGTGTACGTAGGATGGCGAAGAGAGGGGGGAGAGATAGAGAAGTGAAGAAAAAGAGAAGATGGTTAGAGTGAGAAAATAGTGAATGAGCGAGAAAGTGAAGAGAGACGGGGAAATATTGAAAAAAATGAAGGTGAAAAGAAAGAAAGAAAGAAAGGAAGAAAGGAAGTAGGAAAGGCAAAAAGAGAAGAAAAGGGAAATAGCAAGAGAGAGACAGAGAGAAAGAGAGAGAGAGAGAGAGAGAGAGAGAAGAAGAAGAAGAAGAAGAAACGGAGAAATAGAAAAAGAAAATGTGTGAAAGAGAATGAGGAAAGACAGAGAGAGAGAGAGAGAGATAAAGACAGAGAAAAAGAGAAGGAAAAAGAGAGAGACAATGAAACAAAGAGAGAAAAATGAGTGTGAAAAAGAAACAGTAAAGGGGAGGCACGGTAATGGATAACGGTACGGACTGAGGAATCAGGGATCCGAGTTCGAATTCCAATCGAATCCATTGCATTCATTTACGTACTAATACCCCTGGGAAAGGTATTAATCCTCTTCTCCCTAAGCTATGGGTAAATAGTAGGACAGGCCGGATTCTATAGCCTTGGATGGCAACTAGTCTACCGCAGAAAGAAATGGCAACATACTGCAGGAAAAAAATCTGCCTCGTTAGTCATGTATCGAAAGATACATGATCGCCTAAGCGTGTATCACGCATGGCGCATGACTGACGGAAAGGAGAGACTAGCTCTACCCGACAAAAAAAAAAAAAAAAAAAAGAAGGAAATGAGAAACAAAAAATAATTATAAGATTAAAGTGTTTATATTAATTTATCGACACTAGGCAATTCTGAGAGAATTGGAAATCCTACCGGGATTCAGCATTGGCGGTCACAATTTTACCAACTGGTATGTCGTCAAAACAACCCTTTGTTGCCACTCTTATGACGACAGCGTATAATTGATCGATACCTCGTCAATGTCAATGTAGTAGGACACTTTGTAATCGCAGATACCAATTAAAATACGCCGTTGAACAATACTAGTGTCAGGCGTCTAAAGATAATACTTGTACTAATAGTACTTCGTACAGCGAGAAGAGAATAGCGATCGGAATAGTACACAGCATAGAGGAGAAATACTAAACACCTCATACGTAGGTTTCTCCATTAGGTCAGATAAAAAAGCAGCATATCACGTTGAATAAAGGTCCATAAATCAACGGAAACAACATTTTGTCTCAATATGTTTATGTTGTTATGAAGAGGAAAGACCAAAGTATTTTTTAAATATTTTTTGAAATTTTTTACTCCTTTCTAGCACGTAGAAAATTTTGCTTAAAAATTTTGTTTTTTTTACGACAGCGCGAGAGGAGTAAAAAAAAGTTTTGTTTTATTTTGCGCTTTTCCCGAGGAAAACACACGTTAATTTAGGAAATTCTTGCAAAAATCAAATAATTGTCGGATTTTAAAGAAACTTTCAGGACTTATTCAGAAATGAATGAAATTATTTTTGAAATTTTTTTTTAGAAAATCTTGTTAAAAAGAGATTTTTTTTTTAACATGTTTCCACCCACTTACATATTTTCATGAAATTTCGAGAAATTAAATCTTTATGCGCGGGATTTGTTTTATTAGTTATAAACAGGACTCTTTGTAGAAAGTAAATCACCAGTTTTTTTTTTTTGTAAAACAGTACCTGGTTTCATAGAAAATCTGCTTTGAATTGTAAAAAAAAAAATGTAAAAAAGTATGACATTAATTAATTAGAAAAGCTTTCACCTGTTTTTGTAAATACGTTATACTAAGGACATTATTTTGTGAAGAAATAAAATTTTTTCGATGAATAACGTATTTTTTACAATTTTTTTTCCCCATTTTTAAAATATTTTTCATTAACTTCTTAATACAGTGTAATCCGGATATAAGAGAGTTGTCGGGACCGGAGAAGTCTCTTATATCCGGGTTTCTCTTATATCCGGGTTTGGTCTATTTTATATACATTAACACAGGCTCTAATTTGGGACTAGAGAAAATCTTTCTTATATCCGGGTTTCTCTTATATCCGGGTCTCTTATATCCGGGATACACTGTACTTCAAAAATCGTTTAAAATTCTTTATTGCTTTCAAGCACGTGATGTATAAGTCATACGTCACGCGACTTCCTCTATATAAGCGTTTCCGCTATGGTCACGTGATCTACCCAATGAATAATGAGATCGCATTTATTTGTTTACTTGCGATCTAGGTTCAACCACAAGTGTCAGCAGTGATAGTTTATTCTTATAACACCAACACAAGATACGCAGACCCAGTACTGACAGCAGACGCGAAAAATAAAGTACAAAACCTCCTACAGAAGGTAGCAAAGGAGAGCGAGAAGAAAGGACTAACCATAAGCTACAAGAAGACAGAATTCATGGTCATCAGTAAAAAGATGACCCCGAAATGCGATTTACAAGTCGGAGACACTAGAATCAAGCAGGCGCGGAAGTTTAAATACCTGGGAAGTGTTTTGACAGAGGACGGTAAGTGCGACGCTGAGATACGAAGACGTATTAGGATGGCCAAAGACGCATTCTAAAAGCTAGGCAGAGTATTACAAGACAGGAGCATTTCTTTGGTAACAAAGTACTGATCTGTTACTTCGTCTGTGCTCCTATACGGCAGCGAATGTTGGACGGTCTCCTCAAAGATGAAGAAGAGACTTTAGGCAATGAAGATATGGTTCTACAGAAGGATGCTAAGGATATCATGGACCGAGCGTGTGAGCAACGATGACTTCTTGGAGAGGATGCAAACAAGGAGGAAGCTTATACTTAACACCAGGAAGAGCAGGTGGCATTTCTGGGACATATAATGAGAAAGTAAGGCTTGGAGAATCTGATACTCATAGGTTGAATAGAGGGGAAAAGAAACAGGGGACATCATGATCATCTTGCGGCCTCAGCCGAGATTGAACTCACTAATACTTTGATTGGTGTAGTTCATAATCTTGTCAAATAACTGAATTCTTGATGCTTCGCTAGGGCTATCAAGGGTGTTTTTTTTATCGTGACACCATCACTAAATGGATTGCCAACCAAGGCTCAGAGAGACTCCATTCACCCTCATCTAAGAGCAGGTTTTTAAATCAGAGTTTTCCTTCTCCTAGACCTAATTGCCATCCAAGGCTATAGAACCCAGTCTGTCCTGCTATTTACCCATAGCTGGAGGGAGAAGAAAGAGGATTCACACCTTTCCCAAGGGTATTAGCACGTAAGTGAATGTAATGGATCCGACTGGAATTCGAACTCGGCTCTCCGATTCCTCAATCCAAGCCGCTATCCATTACTCCACCGTGACATACCTGGCAGGCTTAAGTAAGTGGATGACGGAACGTGGTCTGGGGGAGATGGCAGAGGAACGAAACGTTCTAAAAGGACATGGCATATAAAAAGAAAAGAATGCATGGGAGGCTATAATGGAAATAAAACGAGAAAGCTAGCAAAAAGGTAGTTTAAAAAATTCTATAAAATAATAGCGGAAATCATAAAAAAAACCCACGCAAGTAACAACTGCTTAAGTGATAACAAATAAATTGTATAAAAATAACGCATTTATTAATATACGTTAAAATAAGCCTGTACAAATGGCAATAAATAAATGAATTAAAAACGCTATTAACGAAAGAGAAGCGGGGAGCCAATGAAATCCATTTTCTAAGACATCTTCTTTCTATCTGCCTTTTCTCCCCCTTTTTTTCCTTTTCCGCTCCGCCGTTGTCATCAGTGTCTTTGCACAATCGTCGTAGTGACGTCATCAGTTACGTCACAAGGACATGTCTGTTCTCGCCCACAGCTATTCGTTGACAGAATGTGGCCATTCTTAGCGCCGAATGGTTATCAGGTCCACCACAGATGGCCGCCCTGACAAACGTTACCAGTGATCCCACCACCACGTCACCGACATATACGCAACTGCTGCTAACTGCAGATAAAGCCAAAAAAAAAAAAAAATGGCTGGACAGCAGAGAGAGCCAAGTCATACGGTTACTTGCGAAGATTTCTCAATGCTAGATGGATGACCGACTCTAAACAACTCTCTCGTATAAATGATATATATATATATATGTGTGTGTGTGTGTGTGTGTCGGCGCGGTGTTTAGTAGAAAGTGCTCAATATCCGTGATAGAGCTAATATATGCTGTTTTTGCGATCTTCCGACAAACTGCTTTTTTTTTTTTTTTCAAAAGTGGGTCTATTTATGATTTATTTGTGTTTGATAATTTGTGTGTGGTGAATGGGATTTTTTTTTTTTTGACTTGGCTTCTCGACTTCAGACATTTTCTCACAGACGTAATGTACATTTTCTCTATCTTTCCCACTAATATTTTCATGGCTACTGCTCTAACGAGTTTTTTTCCCCTGGTGTCCCGACTACATGAATTTAAGTGTTCTACTAGATTGGCATTTAGGTCCCATCTATTTATTCCGTCCTGGGTATGACTATAAACTACATCCGCGTCCTGGGTAAGACGTTAAACTACGTCAAGCATCAACGCCTCTGATCAGGAGGTGTTGAGGAGCGTGGAACCACCACTTAATTGCAGGTATTCCCGGGTCCACCCTGAGGTGGTAGCACTTGTTAGGGTCCCAGCTATGGGTAAATAGTTAACACTGAAACTGAGATAAAAAGCATTATAAAAGTGTAAAAATAAGTTTTAATACCAAAAATACTTTGTAAAAATTATTACCAAAAATAATTTTTTGAAGAAAAAAAACTATTACCAGCAATATATTTTTGAAAAAAAAAAATATTACCAGTAATATGTTTTGAAAGAAAAAATATTACCAGCAATATATGTTTTAAAATAATATTACCAGCGATACATTTTTGAAAAAAAAATATTACCAGAAAGAGATTTTTGACAAAACAAAATATTACCAGGAAAAAAAAGTTGTCAGCATTAAATAACCTAATGAGGTTGATATACCGTAAAACACAACAAACCAAACCAAACCCACCCATTTATTGTTGAAATAGTTAAATGTAACTGTCGCTTCTACTCTAACAGTTTCTTTCTTCATACTTCCCGACATTGAAACTACCTTCCTCTTACTTGCTTCCCTGATAAATACAATCTTCAAAAATTGAAATCCAACGTCAATCGCCATCTCCTGTTGCGTCGATCCCTGTCTTTTTTCCTTTCCCCAGTCCCTCTTACACACAATCTTTTCTCTCAATTTCGTTCTCCGTAACCCCCTGCATTAGGATTGGTACGGAATAAATTCCAATAACCAACAAATACTATTTTTAAAAGAGTGCTCAATACAGCGTAGAGCAAATATAATTATTTATTCGAAAATTATAAGATTAATATGTTATAAAATCACAACACCATCACTTGATAAGACACCAGAAATGTTGAAACAAAATGCCTATTTTTGTAGTGATTTTATAAAATATTTATGTTATAGTTTTCGAATAAATAATTATATATATATATATATATATATATATATATATATATATATATATATATAATAAATTATAAAAGAGTATTAACGACATTTACCGTTCTGTTGACGCATATTTTCTATGAAAATTTCTCGGATATTCAGGCCGGTAAATGTTGTTAATACTGTTTATTATAAACAAACATTTACTTAAGTATTTGTATCTCTAAAAAGAACGTATAAATATAAAAATGTCTTAATATATATATATATATATATATATATATATATGTGTGTGTGTGTGTGTGTGTGTGTGTGTGTGTGTGTGTGTGTGTGTGTGTGTGTGTGTGTGAAAATATATAGAAAATAGTAAAGAAATCGTTAGGTAAATAATCCAAAGTTCTTTAGTATTTTTATTTAAAAAAAAAAACAATGCTTGATACAAAAGTAGAGCCTAAATATAATTATTTATTTAAAAATATGATTCCTTCGCTACATAAGAGTTGTCGTGTTTCAAAACAAGAGCCGAAAACTTCAATATAATTATTTGAATTAAATTGAATTAAAGTACCAAGCTCTGTTCCATCTTCAAGCGAGATTTTTTGGAATAACTAATTCTTGAAATTTACGATTTTTTATAAGCATATTCATTATTAAAATTAAAATTACTATGGTAACAGCTAGAGCAATTATTTAAAAAAGGGCCGTAAGGGTTAATAATTTGTATCAATATCTCAGTTACATTCAAAGAGGTCAAGTCAGGGTAAGGTTGACGAGTCTAAATTTAAAGCGGAAGATTACATCGTCTAGCGTGGTTAACGGTTAAGTGTCTATGGAGATTTATTTATTTTTTATTTTATTTTCTTTCCTGAAAGGGTTTTGCGTATATAAAACTGTCATAATTAACATTTGTTTTGTTGACGACTTCATAAAGGTTTTTATTATTATTATTATTATGGGGTAGGGCTTTTAAACTTTTATTTATACTATGGAGTTTAAAATTTGTATTTATTATTTAATTGTTTGTTTGTTTTTTATGCTAATTATTCAATGCGAAAATTTGATGATGTCAGCAAAAAACCGTTAACTCATGTCTATTGTTTAATACATTTTCATTATTTCGAAACTTGATAATGTGTAGTTTTTCATGTAGGCATAAAGGGCATGGGTCATCCCAAGTTTTACGGGCTGTACAGAAATGACGGGCTCATAGTAGTTCCACTAATTTTAAAATAGAGAAAATTAGAAAAATCATATAGAGAATTTAGAAAACTCAATTTAAAAACAACAGTCTGTAAAAAATTAAAAAGGGTAAACTACCTCGACGTAACTCTGGATTTAATAAACAACATATACCTACCTTATAGAAAACCTAACACTAACCCCTTGTATGTACACCCTAAGTCAAACCACCCTTCATCCATAATTAAGCATATACCTTCATCAATAGAGAAAAGAATCAGCATTAACTCCGCTAATTAAGAAATATTCCAACAACACAGTAATTTTTATAACGCGGCACTAAAAAATAGTGGATCCAAAAATGCTAACATCAATTATAGAAACAATTATACTAACCAGAAGCAAAACAGGAAAAGAAAAATCATTTGGTATACCCCTTCGTTCAACCAAATGGTTAGTATTAAGCTAGGACAGAAATTCCTAGCTTTAATTGAAAAACACTTTCCTACCAATAGTAGACTTAGTAAAATATTTAATAAAAACATCCTAAAATTAAGTTACAGCTGCACTGAAAATCTAGAAACTATAATAAAAAAACATACATATTTTTCAGCATTAACTCCGCTAACAAAGAAATTTTCCAACAACTTTTATAACGCTGCCGTAAAAAATAGTGATCCAAAAATGCTAACATCAATTGTAGAAACAATTGCACTAACCAGAAGAAAAACAGGAAAAGAAAAATCATTTAATATACGCCTCCGTTCAACCAAATGGTTAGTATTAAGCTAGGACAAAAATTCCTAGCTTTAATTGAAAAACACTTTCCTACAAATAGCAGACTTAGTAAAATCTTTAATAAAAACACCCTAAAATTAAGTTACAGTTGCACTGAAAACCTTGTTAACCGAACGCTCCTCTGTGGCCCAATCGGTTAAAGGCACGTTAGGCTATATGACGGTTCCGTATAGGATACAGGTTCGATTCCTGTCGGAGAACGCATATTTTCTATGAAAATTTCTCGGACATTCAGGCCGGTAAATGTTATTAATACTGTTTGTTATAAACAGAGCATTTACTTAAATATTTGTATCTATAAAAAGAATGTATAAACATAAAAATGTCTTTATATATATATATATATATATATATATATATATATATATATATATATCACTTCAAACGACAATTTTAGTGGTTACCCATATTTGAGTAAACGTCCCGTTTATTTTAAACGGTATTTAATATCCTCTACCGGCTTGGATATTCTAGACATTCCATTAAAGAAAATCCTCACCCTGACAGGATACGAACCTGCACTTACACTCCTTTCCTTGTTTTTATCTCTTATTTCCTGTTTATGGATCGGGCTTCCGGTCCTTTCTAAAGATTTCTCATACTCTTTCATTCCGTGTAACCTTATGCATTTTAGTGACATCACAGCCTTACATGGGGTGATAGGATTAATATATATATATATTTAGAAAGTCTTGTTATATATTTCTAAATGTATATATTTATATCTTTTCCTCAGTCAATGTCGTCTTCGATAGCTAGGTCGCAAACATATATCGAATGAATGACGGTCGTTGGCTAAAATAGACCATGTACGTTGAGCTGACCACAGGTCACCACTCAGCATGTACTACGATACAAGTACGTCTGCAAGAGGCACCTGGAACATCATGCATCAACTGTGGTGGTTGGAATTGTCGAGCAGACGATCGCAGCGTCTGACGCCATACTGTTCGAGTGGTAGTCATGCAGAAGTCAATGCAGGAAGCAGATAAATAAACAGTAACCTATTTATATTTGTATGTATTTTTTAAACATGATTTGAAGAAGACAGATATAATGTCGAAATATCATTAAACATTGTTAAAGATTGTGTTTCTCTTCCTTTTTTTCTTAAATCGCGCTCATCTGTAAGTGTAGTAGTAGTAATAATAATAAGAAGATGAAGAAGAAGTTGTTTTTTCCCACTAGACAAGAGAAAAACTATACGACATTGAAGAAGAAGAAGAAGTCCCCCGACTGGACAAGAGAACAAGTATGCAACATTGGTTTTTTCATTTGTCGAAGAGTTATAGGAAGCCATAATGTTAAAAATTCAAAATTAGTTGTGGTATTTAATGAATATTAGGCGATTTTTGTTGTTTATTATGGTATTATATATATATATATATATATATATATATATATATATATATATATATATATATATCATCTAATATTATCTATAAAACTAAAACGACCAATAACATATCTCAAAAAGAAAAAGAAAGGCCATGCTGACGGTTGAGGACAACCGGAAGTACTCGGTAGAAAGATATCGACTCGGATCCTACTTTAACAACCTGGATCAAAACATTAAGAAAATGTTGAGGAAGAAAGAAAAAACTGAGAA